CGAAGTTCTGAAAATGAAGTTTCTTCGTTATGGGGCGCCCACGTGCTGGCTCAAACTGGTGTTCAATATGTGGCTGAGCCCCAGGGTGATCAGACTCGGCCGACAGCACTCAGATGAAGTTCTCTGTGCTCGGCTTGGATTACCAGCTGGCGATGCTTGCGCTGACTTAGCCGTCAAAGTCAACACCGTGGACGCTTTTGATATCATGATAACTAAGTCGCCGACGATAGATTTCCAGGACTGCATTGACGATTCAGGCCTACACAATTCTTCTTCTGATTTCGACATAGCGAAAGGTGCGGCAGTGGAGGGTATCCAGCAGTTCTTCGAGGCCAGCAGGCAGATCAACGCCACCCTGAACGCCGAGAAGCTCGCGACCATCTCGGCGCACCCGGCCTTGGCTGCAGCCGTGTGTGACGAGCTCGAGCTTCCGAGGTCGGTGATCAAGCCCAGTGTGTCCTACCTGGGCGTGGACGAGTCTGCTGGTGCAGTTCGGCGACGACAACGAGTGCGACTGAAGCAGCAGCCGAGGTTTGTTGCGATGAGAAAAAGGATCCGAAAGGTGCGAGCCATGAGGAAAGGGTTCAAAGGTCCCAAGGAGATCCCATTCAAGAAGATAAATCGCCAGGGTGTGGCCCCTGCGAGCAGTTTTGGAGTTGCAATCCAGGGGCTTTCGGAGTCTGAGTGGCTAGCACACCAGCGTTTGATGAGTAGTTCAGATTCTCCCTCGCACGGTGGAGTTTCACTTTCAGCTAAGGTAATTTTAAACGGTGATAGTAGCACGAGGTTCGCTGTGGCGCCCGCAATCCAATGGTGCAGGATGGTGTGGTCAGCTGCGACTCGCCCAGAGCACGCCCTTGTAAAGATGGCTGAGCTCGTGTACCTCTGGGAATTATGTCAGCCCGCCAGTTGTAAAACTTGGCAAGAGTCCAGGGGCCCGATTTCTCGTGCTTGTTTGAGTTTGACCCGCGCGGGCTGGAAGCACCGTGGCCCCTTAAAGTGGGTGGACCACAATGGCCACGATGTTGATTTAACGCAGACCCCGCCGTCACGTTTAAAAGACATGCTTGAGCTAGGAGTTCAAAGGCAGCGCGAGTTTCGGTTGGCCCAAAAGCTGGGCTTCGACCCTGGGACGCGTGCCACGCTGGACTTAGTTCGAAAAGCTGTGTCTCCGAAAGCCAAGCGCCTGAGTAGGTATCAGAAGTATCTAATCAAGAGCCGTGGCTGCCCAGGATTGTGGACCAATGATCGTGCTGCGAGGGCGGGGTACTTGTGTGACGGGCTGTGCGGGTGTGGTGAAAGGGACACAATCCACCACAGGCTCTACTGCTGTGAGTTACCCAAAGTTTCAGAGGCTCGTCAGGCCGCCGAGGTCTCTCCCGAGTTCCTGGCAGCGGCCCGAGCGGAGCCCGAACATCTGATTTTCACTACTGGCATTTTCACGTACCAGGACAGTGCGCTGCCGTGCCCGTTGGTTTCGTACGAGGTGGACGTCTTGGATCAGCACGGCAACGCACTAGATTTAGCCCCTGAGCAGATTGCCACTCTTACAACGAATGTGCCGCTTCGACTGGCCTCGGATGGATCAGGAAGCAAACCGTTGTTGAGGCCGCTGGAGAGAGCTTCCTGGTCCATCGGGGTCCTCCCCGACATCGGGGAAGATCCAGTTGCTTTTCTGCGCGGAGTTGTACCTGGCATGCTTCCGCAGACTCCCGCCATGGCGGAACACGTAGGCATCGCACTGTGCGGCCAAGTGGCCAGCAGGCCCGCCGAGTTAGGTTCAGATTGCAAGGCCGCCATCCGAGTCACTCAGCGAGACGTTTCGAGGCAGCTAGCGGCAGGAAGCAAATTTGCAAGCATCAGACGTTTTGCGCAGGGTTTGGAGGGCACGCCTTTAATCCACTCCGTGCGTCATGTTAAGGCGCACAGGTCCGAAGAAGAAATGGCGCTGCTCGAAGGCGAGGAAAGACTTTTTTGCCGTGGCCAACGCAGCTGTTGACAGGCAGGCTAAAGCAGCGTTGTCCCTTCACCCTGCGCCAGACGCGGATTTCCTCTCAGATATGAATCTCGCAGCCACCCGTGAGCAGAGCTTCATGAAATTAGCCGCTGAGGTCCTCCCGCTATTCCCCAATGAGGTAAGGTGGAAAAGACCTGTGCGGATCAGATCAGGCCGCTCAAAGCGGACTGTGTTTTGGCACTGCTGGAAGCATGGTGGATTAGGTTTGCAGTGCACCAGATGTCTGCTGGAGGCAGAAGGATCGCCAGACGGAGTCCCAATGAGTGGCTGCAAAGGCGTTCCTAGTCACATCAGTCGGTTGCTCTCGAATCCCCTGGGACATTCCCTCATCGCCACGGGTGGCTTGGCTCGGGAAACTGAGGACGGCTCCTCGGTGTGTCAAGTTCGAGAGCAAACCATCGTTTGTTTGAAATGTGGAGGGTGGTCTCAAGCAAAGCTTGAGAAATTAGGCCGTCCCTGTGTTGCCCCCACTCGTAAAGGTCTAGAGGTGATCTCCATGGTGAGGCAAGGGCGGTGCCCGAATCGTCGCGTCACGGCCTTGCTTGATAAGGCTCTCCCTGTCTCTCGGCTGCGCCGAGACCCGCCCGAACCCCATGACACCTCTGACACGAATGTCCGTACGAGTTTTTCGGCCACAGAGACGGCCCCCTCCTATGAGCAAAGAATGAATGCTTTGGTCGAGCGAATTCGAGTGAAGGAGAGCACCCGAGATGCTCGGTCCAGGGGATAGCTTCGGGAGTTTTCAGAAGGTTTCCCTCTTTTTAACTTCCTCATCCCCGATTCGTATCCCAGTTATATTCAGCTGAGATTATTTAGTGCTGTGCACTTCCCCCCTAGGGCATTCCATTCCATTCCATTCCTCAGCATCATCATCCTTATCCTCCTCCTCCTCCTCCTCCTTTTCCTCCTCCTCCTCCTCCTCCTCCTCCTCCTCCTCAGCATCATCATCCTTTTCCTCCTGCTCCTCCTCCTCCTCCTCTTCTTCCTCCCTCGCGCTGCCCGCCGCTCTGACCGACGCGCCCCGCCCAAGCGCCCTCGCCCGCGCCTGCTCGCTGGACGGGCCGGCTGGCTGCCCACCGCGCCTGTCCGCGCCGGCGCCGTCGGGGCGGAGGCAGAGGCACCCGGGGGGAAGAAGTGCACTGGGCCAGGATAGAAGGGGACGCAGGCGAACACGACAAGGAGACGAAAGATGAGAGAACGATCCCGCCGAGAGAACGGGGAGTAGGCGGACGGGGAGCCGCTTAGCTCTTTCGCCTCCTTCTCCTCCCCTCACCTCCCCCCCTGCCCCTCCTCCGGTCCTCCTCCTCCTCCTCCTCCTCCTCCTCCCTTTTACGTTGCACCGAAGTTGGTCGATGATTGATCTTTTTCTGGTCAGGGATACGGTTCTCCCTGTAATTATTGCCTGCATTGCCCTGCGTGCACCACAGACCCCCCCCCTCCCAGGGGGGAGTCAGTGGACGCGAGTGATGCCATGATGCGACTTGGGCTTCATGGGGAAGGGGATGAATCCCTGGACAAGACGCGTGCACCTTTCGTGCCCCTTGTCGTGATTCCAGAGGGCCCCTCTACGGCCCCGCAACTGCACGAAGGGGTCACCTGCCCTCCCCCCCCCTTTTCGCCGCCCCCAGACGTAGCGCCCGAATGACAGACTCAGGATTCGTTCCACGAGATCCAGGGTATCCAACGGACAACGTTTCTGCAGCCCGCGTGGACCGCCAAACAATCAGGGGAAACCAAACGGTACCCATATCGCTACTCCACGGACCTCTCCTGGGGTGCGTGTTGACCCGAGCCTCGCGGCGAATCCAGCCGTGGTGAGGAGGGAAGGGAGAAAGGCATCGGTAGTCATCGGGATATGTTCCCTTATGCTCGTCCTCGAACTCTGGAGCATTTTGGGAATCCGGGAGCGTATCGCGACAGTAGGGGCCCGACCACAAGAAATTCCACAAGAAACCCAACCTCGAGAGACCCCAGGACGTCCGTCGACTTTTGGTGTGGGAGCGTCACGTCCCCTATGGCAGAACCACCCTCACCCAAGAGACCCAGCGCACGCTGGAGGCAAGCAGGGCGTTTCTTGGCATGGGCCCCCACTGCACCATGGCCTCCGAATCCTCCGAACGATGCGGCCAGCGCGACGGGCCAGGCGCCTCCGCTTTGGCCAGACTGCGAAAGCGCGCCCCGCGTGGGGGGGTCTCCTGGCAGGTCAGCAGCACGCGAGTCGCCCTCGCTCCAGCGAGGGTGGCCCGACGCCCCCCCGACGGGGCGTCGCGGGGGCCACAGCTCCAGCCGCGCCACGCGACGCAGCCCCGAGGCGTCCCAAAGTGGGCCCTTTGGGGCACTCCCCTTGGAGCCCACCTGATCGCTCCTACCTCGTCCTCTGACTGTCCGACTGGCGTGCCAGCCAGCTGACCACAGGGACTGTGGAATGCACATGCTCCTTGTATCATACGGTGGGAGCTAATCCACAAGAGACCCGCCGCAAAAACCAGACCCTGCAATCCGCAGAGGTTTCTTGACCTATGGTTGGATTTCTTTCCCTTCGGCTGCAAACAAAGAAACCCAGAGCACCCTGACCCGAGCGGTTTCTTCATCGCTTGCGCAAAGCAATGCAACATCGAGAAACCCAACGCGCCGACGCCCACGAAACCCAGGGTGCCCTGCCATTTGCAATGTCTTCGAGGCTGCTACAACCTTCCACGCCGAACGCAAGCCAACGAAACATGGGGCACCCTGACGAAACGAAAAAAAGGTTTCTTGTCATGCGGTCCGACAGCAGGCCAAGAGCCTGTCGTCTGGACCGCTCCTCTCCAAGCGTGCAACCCTTCTCTGGCTGTTGGTTGCGCTGTGGGGCGGGAGGCAGGGGGGGTGGAGAGCAAAAACACTCTCAAGTCCCCAAGGCGGCGTGTCCCCAGTGAGGTGTCGCAGGAACCACTGCTCCAACTAAAACATGACATGCGCCAAAACCTGGTTCCGGGCCGTCCGGGGCGGGCCCCGAAGACCCCTTCTGGGGTGCACGTCTGCTCCGGGGTAAGTGTTGTTTCGCCCGAGCCGCCTTTTTGCTTCCTCGCGCAAGCCACCGTGGTTAACACAAAGACATCGCAAAACATGAGATCGCCAGACAAACTGAGAACGCCGCAAAAACCAACCTGCACTGGGCAAGCCCATGTTGTGAACCGTGGCCTGAACAACAAGCGGACAAGGCAGTTGCGACAGGATGGAGGAGGGAGGAGGACGAAGGAAGAGGATATGGAGGAGAAGGGAGACACGACAGCCGCGTTGTGTGGGCATCCCCGATGGCCCATGGCTCTGGCCCAACCGAACTCGAGCGAGGCACCTCCCCGCGCGGGGCCTCGGGCGGGCGATGGGGGCGCCTGCAGTGGAGCCCAGGGAGGACGCGCGCGCCCAACCCCGTGCGGCAGATTTGCGTCGTGCCGACTTCGGCGTTGGTCCCTGACGCCGCGGGGATCGTTCAACCTTGCGCGATCGGCCGTTTCCGGAACCTCAGGTCGTTCAACATCGACCGATTCTGGGTCGCCGGCGGCGTTTGACGTTGAACGCTGGCGGCGGGGTCGCCGCCAATCGAAACGACACGAACCATCCGTGCATGACTACGCCCCCCTCGCCCGCGAGACCAGCCTTGTGGTGAGACGAACGCTCGCGCAATGCCTGCATGCTCGTGGAGGTCGCCTTGTAGGTGGATCAGCATTTCGCTCGGGAACCCTTCAAATGCGAAGCACGTATCGCCCATGCCAGTATCATCGCGCAGCAACTCTGACCATACAGCTGAGTCGCGAATGCGCTGGCCATCCGCGATTTGCACGAGCACTTCGTCCAATGTGCCGAGGCGGGCGGTCAGAGAAGACAGCAACACGGTGGTCGCTTTTCTTCGAACAGATGCGAGCCCAAAATCATGTCGGTGAGCGTATTCGGGACGACGGCGTTTACGGTCTGGGCTTCAGCGTCCACGACCTGCACGACCTGCACGGCGTCGCGCGCATGGTGGCTGGTGCTGACGCCACCGCACGAGCCGGAGGAAACCTCAGCGGGTGCACCACCTATGTTGCACGCGTCGGGGAAGCACTCGTCCTCGTAGCCCTGGATGTCGTACTCGTCCTGCTGAACCATGGATGGGAACAGGAGCGGGGCACCCCCGTGCTCCGTGGAGCCAATGTCAGTGCGTTCCAGAAGAGCCAATGGTGGTGGCCTCGATGTCCTCAGCCGTAGAGGTGCCAGAAGCACTGTCGGTGACATCGGAAGTCGCCTTGTTCTTGCCTTTGCGGGTCACCTGGGCGTCCGCCTGGAGCAGCGTGTCGAGTTCTTCAAGACATTCTGACATCCGCGGTTCGATGGTGTACCGCGTCCAGTTGACGGCTGTGTCGAGATCCCTACACTTTTTCGCAAGAAGATTCGTCGCATTGCGATCGGAGCAAAGCTGAAACCGATGGACATCAGCCAGCGTTGACTCCAAATAGATAACAGGAGGAGGACAAGAGGAGGATGGGAGAAGGACGATAGGAGGACTGGAGCAGGACGGGAGGAGCAAAATCAAGCAAGCGCAAGCAAGCAACCAGAAGCAAGCAAGCGCAAACGAGCAATAACAAGCAAGCAAAAGCCAACGACCAAGTGCAAGCAAACAAGGGCAAGCAAGCGAAAGCAAGAAAGTAAAAGCAGACATAGGCATTGGTATAGGCATAGGCATCGGCATTTGAGTCAGGGAGAGGCATAGGCATGGGCATAATTAGGTATAGGCACATTCATAAGAATTAAGGGGGGGCTGGGCATAGGAAGAAGGGGGGGGGCAACGGACCAATTAGTAGGGTTTGAGTTAGAACTCCAATAGGGCAAGCCTATTTGGAGAACATCCCGAGAAGCTTGATGCAAACCTTCGTAGTGATTCCCCAAACTCGACTAATTTCTTTTGGAGGACAGAGCCATGCAGGTCAAGAATCAGGGGCCCCATGAGCTGCGATTGGAAGAGCGAGAACAAACAAACAAACAATACAGTCCCTGTGCCGCGCTTGCGAGAAACATTCTCGTACCAAAATGCCCACGGAGGAGGAGGAGGAGGAGGGAGAGGAGGAAGAGAAGGGGTCGGGGTGCGGCTTGGGGCTCGCTCCGGCTCCACTCTTGAATTGGGGCTCAGCGGTGCGGCGTGTTGCTGGCCCCCGTTTCCCACACAATTGTCCAATTTGCGTGGGCGATGGCAGCATGCCCAAGCATCGGGAGCGGGATGAACCTCCTCCTGTTCCTCTCCCTCCTCCGCGCACGGCTGATGGGGGCCGAAAGGGGCCAACGCACCAACCTCACCGCGCCCATGGGGCACGGCGCCGAGACGCCCCGAACGCGAGGAGAAGCAGCAGCACGGCCAAGCCCGACACTAGATGCAGAATCCCTTGCGGGTGCCGCGGCCGAACCGGCAGCCTCGCTCCAAACGCCATCACGTCTCAACGGGACAGGGCCCATCCGGTATCTGCGCTGCCAGCCGTCGCTCCCTCCCCCTGCGCCAGATCCCCTTCGGCGGTGGACACACCTCCCCTTAGGAGCCCTCCTGCCCGCTGGGGAGGCTTCTCAGACGCCCCCCCTGCATTCTCAGAAGGCCGCCCCTCCTCGCCCCACCCCCTGCGCGCGTCGCCGGGGGCAGGTCTCGCGGACAGGTGAGCGACGATCAAGCAAAGGGTCTTACGCGAGATGGCATGGCGACCCTACACCGCGGCGGATCACGCGGGCCGCCGGCGCGGCACGCCACACTGGAGGAGAGGGCGCCTGCGCGCGACCTTACCCGGGCAGCTTGCGCGCCAATGTAGGCGCAGTCGACCCCGTGTTCTTTCGTCGCTCAGGTAGGGCACCCTGGAGGCAAGCAGGGTGTTTCTTGGCATGGGCTTCCGCCGAATACTGAACTGAACTGTGTGCGCAATCGTCGTTCTCCTTTTCTTCAACGCGGGCCACCCAGCCGAAGCTGGAGCTCAGAGAAGCAAAGGCGGCGGCATTGCGAGAGGAAAGGGATCGAACACGAGACCCGCAAGGGGCAGACAACAAAGCACGCTGCGCCCCCTCTCCCCAGAAGTACTTGCGCCCTCTTCCTCCTCATCATCCCCGCTCCTTATCCTCCTCAATTCCCTCCTGCTCCATCCACGGCCGAACATGGGTGTAGCCAGTGAACCATGCGGTCTGGAAAGTACTTATCCACGCGCAACGAGCTCAACGTTCTGGCCATCGATGCGATGACAGGCACGTGTGCGGTGCATCGTGGGGGCCGCTCACCGAAATCACGAACCACACCTTTGTCAGAGTGAGGGGGCCGAAGGGTCATTCACTGTCCCTGGGTGCGTGGCTGAAGTGAGAATCCGTGGTGAGGATTCTGCTTGTTGCGTTGTTCATGTTGTTAATGTTGTTAATGTTGTGGTTGTTGTTGTTGAACATTATTAATTCTAAAGAATAATTATTGTTGGGACCCCTGGTGCACGGCCCCCCTGCGCCGCCTAGGCCGCAGCTACATTTTCATCATTTTCGTGAGGAAGCCTCAGGTAATTCGATGTGATCAAGATCCGGTTGTTTTGTTCCCCCCCGCTTTCCCTTGCAAAAAACACTATAAAATGACATTTCTTGTTCTAATATAATCAAATTTCAAGAATCCCTTGCAAAAAATAAGGTAAAGTGGACATTCGCGCGCGCAAGACGAAATCCTTCCAAAAGCTTAGTGTTCGGAGCGATTTTAACATAAAAACATCAAAAAAACAATGGTTTTTCAACAAAAAAATGTCAAAATCTCATCCCGCGCGCTCTTGCGGATTCGTAGGAAACCCAACACTTTTTAAACATTTCTGTCAAACGGGCTTTTGCGAGCAACTTTTTCGAACTTCTGCGACAACGGTTGCGCACCTGCCAGGGCCATCATCCCTGTCAAATAATACCATGCGGGACACATTCGTTTTTTCTTCGCGCGCGCACGCCGAAATCTCCAAAAACCATTGGGTTCTTAAGAATTTTAGCACCGCGCATCATAAAATCACACGAATCGCACCGTAGGTCCTCGAAAAACACCTGCACGACTTTTCAAAATTTCCACCCGCGCGCGCTGTCCGAATCCTAAAACAACCAAAGGTATTTGTGTATCCCCACATCCGCCCAGGAATTCCACAAATGTGACCAACTATCTTGCGAGTACGTATCATCTCATGTGTGTCGTGCACACTATCAAATGTAACAGAGTTGTGTATTCCCATCATCCCAGGAACTTGACCCAAAAATGTGACCAACTCCGCTCTCTCTGTCTCTCTCTCTGTCTGCTCTCTGTCTCTCTCTCTGTCTCTCTGTATTATGTATTGTATGGCACAATTGCACCATGCTGGGCACATGCGCGCCCCGAATAAGTGACCAAGTTCTGTGGGTGTGTACCCCACGCCAGTGTAGTAGCCACGGTCGTCCGCACGCCACGAAGTGAAGTGTCCCAACGTCATAGGGCGGGAAGCTGGGTTTGGGTGGTCGCGAAGAGTCGTTTGGATATTTGGTAGAGCTTGTAATGCCCCCCCACGAAGTGGGGGTATTGCCTGGTGTCGTATGAAAACCCTGGCACTGGGGAGAACACCGCGCGTTCGGGTAAAATGATTGTTGTTGTTGTTGTTGTTGGTGTTTGCTGTCGTCGCCCCCTCCGCGACCCACCCGCGACCCACCACGCGACCCACCCCGCGAACCACCCCGCGACCCACCCCGCGACCCACGCGCGACCCACCCGCGACCTACCCGCGACCCACCCCGCGACCCACCCGCGACGCACCCGCGACCCACCCGCGACCCACCCGCGACCCACCCGCGACCCACCCGCGACCCACCCCGCGACCCACCCGCGACCCACCCTGCGACCCACCCGCGACCCACCCCGCGACCCACCCCGCGACCCACCCCGCGACCCACCCGCGACCCACCCGCGACCCACCCGCGACCGATCCGCATTGGTTGGAAGAAAAAATCGGCGCCTGCGGCGGGCTCGTTGCATAATTTGTGAAGCTTTGGCGCCTGCGGCGGGCTTCTCCAGAGTCTCACAGACGGCCGACGTCCCCACCGCCCCCTCATTCTTACCCGCCTCTGCGGGGTGCTACGTATATAACTCAACACTCTGCATGTATCGGACGGACGGAGCGGAGGTACAACATAAACATAATGCAAGAAATTCCAACGGGGGTCACCAGTAGGGGAGGCGCCACCTCCTCCGGAAAGTGGGGCCACCAGAACACTCCATAGCCTCCCGAAACGAACGTCCACTGAACCCCGCGCGACCCCAATTAGGGGAACACTTCCAACGCATCGCTTGGCTTTGCTTGGAATTGCTCAGCTTTTCTCGGCATTGCTTAGCGTTGCTTGGCGCTGTTAGGTGCTGCTTGGCGTTACCTGGCGTTCCTTGGCTCTGTGCACTGGTTGGCACTGCCTGGCATTGCTGGACATCGCTTCGTTTTGAGTTGCTTGACGTGTCTTTGGAATTGCCTCAAATATTTCCAGGAGACAGCCCAAGGAACCTGGAGAACTCAAGGAAGACCCACCGTCCAAAGCAATACGGAAACGGGACCGAAGGGTCCCAGGGAACGAAGGAAGCAAGATCAAGGAAACAAGGAGCAAAGAGCCACAACGCAGAAACCAATTCATAGAGGAACGAAAAACGGCATAAACACAAACTTTTGGCTGGCCGCGCGGATTTCTTGGATCTGCGATGGACCCCCCTCCCTGGCGCGCGGAGCGCGCCAGGGGCGGCGCTGGAGGCGCCGCCAGGGGGGTCCCAGCGCAGATCCAAGAGATCCGCGCGGACCGCCACAAGTTTGTGTTTATGCAAGTGTATGTTCTTTGCACGAACCAGCTCGAAGCAATCACAGCAACCCAAACCAACGAGACATGACACTACGACCAAGGATCCAGAGAACCAATACCAACGAACCCGGGCTACGCCTTGAAAGGAATTTCGCCAGCCCAACGGGCCAAAGTCGAGCTAAAATCTCCGGCATCAGCTTTAGAGTACTTCGAATTCGCGCGCGCGTGGCTGCCCCTGGGGGTCCCCTGGCGAAGAATACTTATGCAAATCCCGGGCGGTCCCCGTCACAGATGCCGGAACTCCTGGGGGCCATAGTCGCCGGAAGTCGTTCCAAGGTCCCAAAGATAGCCTCCAGACGGCTTCAAACGCCTCCACGACACCCGAAGATGTCTCCAATACCACTCCCAAGAAGCTCCCTATAAGCAACATTCAACGATTTTCCGTTGGTTTTTGAAGGTTTTCATTGTTCTCACCTTTCAGCCGCCGATGCTCTCAGACGGCCCTAGAAGCCCCCCTAGAACCGCAGCGGCGCCGACCAGCAGCGCCGCATGGCCCACGAACGCGCACGCAGACGCCAAGGATAGCACAGCACGAGCTGGCGGAATGAGCGAAGCGATCAACGAAAAGACCAAGGAACCTGGGGCCATCTTACACCCCCTCTTGCCCTCTGGGATCATTTCAATTGTCCTCCTGTTCCTTCACCCACCCTCCCAAATTCTCCACTTCCCCACCAAAAAATCACGATCACAAAAAGGTGGGGCGGCGGTGTCTACCCAGTCAGGGGCATTCAATTAAATAAGGCCCAGGAGCCCAGGGAAGGCCCGGATGAGAAAACCAGACCGAAGAACCCCGGGGCAGGTCGGCGCCAACTGCGGGCCGCACCCACGGGTTCAAGCAGAAATGAGAACCCGCAGGCAACGCCCGATCTGGGAAAAACCTCCTCGACCCTAGATCTTGGAACCTCGATTTCCAAGAGGAACTGCTGGTGCCCCTAATGGTGACCACCACTTGGCACTGCCATAATTAGACGCCGGGGTCGGAGGACGGCGCCGAATCGCCAATGCGTTGCCGACGTATCGGCGATGCATCGGTGACGTCGGCGTGGAGGACACCAGGCTCCACATCCAGCCGCATCGCCGATGTATCGGCGATGTGGCGCGGTCCTCCGACCCCTTCTGCTCGGACCCCATTTGGGAGGCCTGAACTGTAGGGGCCCAGGGACACACGAATAAACACGTACAAACCCCAAGATTCCCCATCTGTTGGTGTGCCTTCTGGGTGCTCGTCTTCCCCCCCCCCTTCCCATAGTTTCCTACATTTTCCTGGGGATCGACGCTTCACTGTGTCTCCGTGTGGCTTCTCCCCTCCTGAGGGGCGATCGCCGTCGAATTTGGAAGGCCTCCGCTTCGCGGCTGCCGAGGATGCCTTGAAGCCGCGGCGCCTCTGCGAAGCAACACCCGCGGCCCGGCACGCGCTGCGCGCCGTCCGCCGCCCTACAAGCGGCGTCTCCTTGCAGACTCTAATTCGCCGCCGCGCCACGCGGCGCGCCGTGCGCGTGAAAACGACCCCACGGCGACGTGGGGGTCCCAGGGGGTGCAGAGCCTCAGAGCAGGAAAGCCCAGACACGATCGCGTCGTGAACAAAAAGCCTGACGGCCAATGTTTGGCTATGCTCGGCCCCGGGGGGCCCTCGCCGGGCACCATAGCCGTCAAAAAACGACTTAGGACGAAAAACGGGTCGCGGGGAAAGGGTCGGGACTTCCGGGGACGCCGTCCTGAAAAATCAGGACGTCGCATGTCTGGGAAGGCACCCCATACCGCTACCCTCTCCCCGCTTTCCCCCTCTTGCGGCCTCCTGCTGGGGGGCCCTCGTCGCAATCGCTGGATTCGCCTCGCTACTCTGGTCTCGGCACGCGCGCCAGGAGAGGTCCGGGGAGCAGCGGCATCGGTTCCTGTTGGCTTCCCCAGGACCCGGGGGAGGGGGGGGAAGAAGGCGGACGCTGGCGGGCGGGTCGGGCAGGGCCTGGCAGTGCCTGGCAAGGCGGGTCGGGTCGGGCGGGCGCGCTGCAGAAGCACGGTGCGCCCTCGAGCCGGCACGCGTGCGCGGCGTGCGGTCGCGGCGGACGGGCCGCACACGGGCGGGCCTGGTCGGGTCGGCGGTCACTGCAGAGGGCGGGTTGCGTCCGGGAGGGCGGGTCAATCAATAAGAGAAGTGGTGCATCATCACATTGGCACGCGTCAGGAGGGCGGGCGGGCCGGATCGGGCGGGCGGGCCCGGAAGGGCGGGGCGGGTCGTGCGGGAGGGTCAATGTACAGCATCGCTCAGGGTGCAGCATCGGAGTGGCACGCGTGCACGGAAGGCAAGTCGGATCGGGCGGGCGGGCCCTGACGGGCGGGTCGGGTCGGGTCGGGCGGGTCATGAAAGCAGGGTGCATCATCAAGTTGGCACGCGTGCACGGCGGGCGGGGCGGGTCGGGCGGACGGACCCTAGCGGGCGGGTCGGGCCAGGCGGGCAGGCCATTAACGCATGGTGCATCCTGAGGCAGGTCACTAATGCAAGGCAAGGCGGGCGCGGCTGATGTGCAACGCGGGGGGTCGCAGCGAGTAGCAGCAGCGGCGAACAACGGTGAAAAGCGCCATCAGACCGACGATCAGGAAACTGAGCACGCCGTACTCGTCGCCGTGACGGCCAGGATAATGAGGAACGTAAATGTCAGGAGGACGGTGAGGATCAAGAGGGCAAGCCTACTGGATTGGCCTTGGGGAAAGAATGCCTAAGCTTACGGGAGTCTGTAGGCCTAGCGTAGGCCTACGGGAAGGGCCCTTAGGATCGACCTAGGGTGAGCCTAGGGGAAGGGCCTAAGGGTGGGCCTAGGGGTAGGCTTGAGGTAGGCCCAAGGGAAAGGCCTTGGGGCCTAGGGTAGGCCTGGGGGAAGGGCCTGCAGGCACACCTAGGGTATGCCTGCGGAAAGAGCCTCGGGGTAGTCTTGTGGGAAGGGCCAATGGTCTAGGCGGGATGGGTTCCCCTCTGGGTTCAATACGTTTGGAAAGGCATCGAGGGCTTTTTGGGGCACCCTTGGAGCACCCTTGGAGCTTTTTGGAGCCTTTTGAAACCTTTTGGCGAGCTTATTGGACCCCCCCCCTCCAGTTCACATCAACAACCACGAACCACTCCAACTCCCAAGCAGGCTCCCCCCCTCGCCCCACCCTTTACAACGGTGGCGGACGTGTGCAACAGCACGGCCAGATTGCATGCCACGGGAAGCCAGCCGAATTTTTCCGGCTATGCGTATAATTTTCTATTATTGGCTTTACCAGCAGTGGGAGTACCAAACTGGTCGCACCTCTCGACTCTCGAGAGGCCCCCGCAAAGGCGACGGTTGCGTGGAGCTCCGCAAAGAGATCTGGGACGCGCTCAAACCTCTGGAAGAAGTCCGCGAACGTCAAGGAGATCTAGAAACTCACACGCTCCACAAATTCGCCAGCCTGCCCCTCGCTCAAATACCATATCCAGTGCGCAGCGGGGCGGAGGAGGAGGAGGAGGAGGAGGAGGAGGAGGAGGAGAAGAAGAAGGAGAAGGAGGAGGAGGAGGAGGAGGAGGTGGAGATGGCGGAGGAGGAGACAGAGGAGGAGGAGGAGGGGGAGGAGGAGGAGGAGGAGGAGGAGAAAGAAGGAGGAGGAGGAGGAGGAGGAGGAGGACGAGAATGACGAGGAGGCTGATGGGCAGCAGGAGGAGGATGAGGATGAGGATGAGGAGGAGGAGGAGGAGGAGGAGGAGGCAGAGAAGGAGAAGGATGGTGAGGAGGAGGCTGATGGGCAGCAGCAGCAGGAGGAGGAGGCTGATTGGCAGCAGGAGGGGGAGGAGAACGAGGAGGACGAGGAGAAGGAGGCTGATGGGCAGCAGCAGGAAGAGGAGGAGGAGGAGGAGGAGGAGGAGGAGGAGGAGGCAGAAAAGGAGGAGGATGAGGAGGAGGCTGATGGGTAGCAGCAGCAGGAGGAGGAGGAGGAGGAGGAGGAGGAGGAGGCTGATGGGCAGCAGCAGCAGCAGCAGCAGCAGCAGCAGCAGCAGCAGCAGGAGCAGCAGGAGGAGGAGGAGGAGGCGGAGGAGGAGAGGAGGAGGAGGAGGAGGAGGAGGGGGGACGTCCCCGAAGCGTCCAGAGGGGGGCCACGCCCGCCCGAACACGTCGCTCCCGCACCAGCGAGTGGCGACGGCCAGGGCCTCCAGCGGTCCGGCGGTCGGAGCGCGCGCGCGAGCGCCCTCTCAATGGCACCCCCAGAAGCTCTGCGGCTCGCCCATGGGCTTCGGGTCGACCACTGGGGGGTAGACGCGGTACCGCGCCCTCCAGAGCCTCCGCTGGCGGAGGCAGGAGGGGCCAGGGAGGAGAAGGAGGAGGAGGAGGAGGAGGAGGAGGAGGAGGAGGAGGGGAAGGAGGGGGAGGAGAAGGTGGAGGAGGATGAGGTGGAGGAGGATGAGGAGGTGGAGGATGAGGAGGGATGCGAAGGAGGAGGGGAGGAGGGGGGGGGGGAGGTGGAGGAGGAGGGGGAGGAGAGGAGGAGGAGAGAGGAGGAAGGAGGAGGGAGGAGAGGAGGAGGAGGAGGAGAAACAGGAAAACGGAGTGGATGGGGGAAGGAGGGGGGGCCTGATCGTTTCTGGGGTATTTGCATCCGCGGGGTTTCTCGGGGTCGAGGGGTGTAGGGAGGAGGGAAGGCAGAACGGAAGACGGGGAGGAGGCAGTTGCCTTCAGATTTTTTCTGCCGTTTCTTACAGCTGATAATCTGTTTTGCAAACTTCTGGCGAGGGAGGATCAAGGGGGAGAATGAGAAGAGGAGCATAAGCAGGAGAAGCACGATTATATCTGCACGTCAGAGCAGGAGGCTTAGGGGAAGGGAGGAAGACCAGGAGGCATCATATGAAACAAAGATATCCTGCCTCCCCCTCCCCGCACACCCCTCTCTTCTTATCGTTCACCGCCCCTGCCTCGCATCCCTCCTCTCCATCCCCACCTCCCCGTTCCCTGCTCACCCTGCCTGTTGCTCCCCGCCTCGCTGCTCCCTCCCCGCGCACCCTCCCCCCCGCTCCTCTTCTCCTTCCCCCGCCTCCCCTTCCCCCCCGCTCCTCTTCTGCCCTTCTCCCTCCTCTCCCCCGTCCTGCCCCGCCCCCTGCACGTGCTGATCATCCCCCTGCTCGCTCTGCCCCTCTCCCCTCTACAAGTTACCAACCTGAAGAACTACTCTTCTCCCTCCCCGACGTACGTTCTGACATGCCCCGCCCATGTCGTGCACTTCTTTGCGGACGCAGGACTTCACGCACTGATATCTCGCATGTATGTTTCAATCGGGGCGTTGAAGTTGTCGGTGCTTCAAACTGGTGTTCCTGGTTCAGCGCGGGCATCGTCGTCAAAATGACGCTCTCGCCTCAACGCGGGCAACTTTTCTAGTTCCGAGTCCTTCCTCATCGTTGTCGCCCCACTTATTCCCCCTCCTCCGCCTTTTCCTGGTTCCCATGGTGCTTTTCCCGCTCCTCCCACCCCTGCTGCTGCTGCTGCTGCTGCTGCTGTTCCTGCTGCTGCTCCTCCTCCTCCTCCTCCTCCTCCTCCTCCTCCTCCTCCTCCTCCTCCTCCTCCTCCCCCCGTCCTGGAGATTCAGTTGGTGCCCGAATCTGTCGCTCTAAGGCCCCCTGGATTAGGACTAGATTGTGCAGTATACTGTTCTAGAGATGATCAGCCCGAGGAGGTAGCCGTGGAAGGACACATGTTTCACGACGGCAGTGTTTTAAAACCAGGGCCCGCGGTTTACGATGTCCCCGCCTGGTCCGTGGTCAAAATCGACGAGACTGGCGACCTAGTTGCCAGCACCTCGGGACCCGCGGGGGCCAGCTTGCCTCCCACATCGCCCGCTGCCGAACACTTGGGATTCCTTGCTGCCGCCTCCTGTCCCAGGGTCACCAAAGCGTGGACAGACTCCAAAGGCATCCTCTCGGTCCATCAGAGCCCAGATGTCAGCAGGAAAGATATGGATTCAGGTATTTCTGTTTTGGCCAAGACCCAGGACAGTGCCAAGCCGCGGCCCTGATCCCCGCCCCGTCCCAAGTGGAGCTTGAGCTTCACAAGTCAGAGCGCTGTCGAACCCAAAGATTTGCGAAATATGCCGCGGAGGAACTGCCTCTGTGGTCTCCTCTAGCCCCGGACGCGGGCAGGAAGGCATTCGAGAAACCCTCCAGGAGCCTTAGTCCCCCTGTTGGTGCTGCTGGTGCGGTCGAGGAGGAGGAGGAGGAGGAGGAGGAGGAGGAGGAGGTGGATGGAGAGGAGAGGAGGAGGGGAGGAGGGGGAGGAGGGGAGGAGAAGGAGAGGAGGAGGATGATGATGATGAGGAGGAGGAGGAGGAGGAGGAGGAGGGGGATGGAGGAGGAGGAGGAGGAGGAGGAGAGGGAGAGGAGGAGGAGGAGGGAGGAGGAGGAGGAGGAGGAGGAGGTGGAGGAGGAGGAGGAGGTCGGGAGGAGGAGGAGGAGAGGAGGAGGAGGAGGAGGAGGAGGAGGAGGAGGAGGAGGAGGAGGAGAGGGAGGGGGAAGGAGGAGGTGGAGAGGAGGAGGAGGGGAGGAGGAGGAGGAGGAGGAGGAGGAGGAGGGGAGGAGGAGGAGGAGGAGGAGGAGGAGGAGGAGGAGGCCTGGATGGCCCCCCCCTGCCCCCTCCCGCGGGTCTCTTCCTCGGCGTGCTCGAGCGGGGGCCGGCCGTCATCCGTTGGCGTGGCTGGGCAATCGTTGGCCGTGCCCGGTCTGCCACACCCGAACTCGAGCCGACAACACCCGCAGGTCTCCCATGCCAGAAGCACGCCCAAGCAGTCCTGTTGCCCTTTCGAACCTCATCCGTGACCCCACGAGGCATCACCCGATGGCTTGTGACTGCTCTGATGTCGAGTCTTTCCTTGTGGTGTGCAGGCGGTGTGGCTGCTACTCGGAGGGTAACCTCGAGGGTCTCAAAGGTGAATGCAAAAGGAGCTTCCAAAGTAAGTTCTCCCAGAATGCGTGGTCCCTTGTGTCAGGCGACCGTCACCCCAAGAGCAGGTTATCGGCCCGCCCCCGACCTTCCCAGCCAATCCCTGTTGCCCAACTCCTCAATGAGGGAGCGGAGAGGCAGGCTGAATGAGTGCGTCAGAGGAGAGCAGAAGTGCTCCAAGGTTTCGGTGAGGTCGGGTCGACTTAACCTAGCCTTTTCCCCCAGAGCCTGTGATGGTCCTCCTCCTCCTCCTCCTCCTCCTCCTCCTCCTCTATCCTCTATCCTCTATCCTCTATCCTCCTCAAACTCCTACTCTTGCTCCTGCTCGTCCTGTCCTCCTACTCATCCGCCGCCTCTTCCTCCAATGTACGCGATCCCCCTATTCTGATTGCGCATGGCACGATAGAGGTTCTTTGGGGGGGTAGGTCCTCTATGACGCCCGTCGACGGATCGAGAAACATCAGCGCAACAGGAAGGGATTGGTGGGAGGGGTGGCATGTCAGGCATGGTGCGACCGCACCTCACTTGGCCCGCTCTTTTCTCCTTCCTCCCTCCACAGTTAACCATAACGAATACAACTCGCCCTCTCCCCGGTTTCTGTCCGAGCGTGGCCCATTGCCCCCCCCCCCGCATGTTATTATTCTGGCGTGAACGATTTCAACACGTGTCGTTGGATGTGTTTCTTTGAATTTGGATCGTTTCGGATGCCACAATGGTACTCCCGCTGCAACGTTGACATCATTTTTGGATCAGCGCGTTGCGTTCAGAATGGCGCTCTCGTCCTAGAGCAAGCCTCAATTCTGGATCCAAATCTCTCCTCCCCTCCTCCGCCTTTCCCGTATTCTCATGCTGCTCCCGCTCCAACTACATCTACTCCTGCTGCTCCTCGTCGTCTCCTCCGTCCTTATCCTTATCCTATTCCTCCTGCTCACCCTCTTGCTCATCCACCACCACTGCCACCTCCTCCTCCTACTCCAGTGTACACAGCTCCTCTTGTATGATTGTGTATGCAAATGACACAATGAGCGGTGGATAGATAAACATCAGCGCAACAATAGGGGATGGGTGGGACGGGCAGAATGTCAAATATGTAGAAAGACAAATTTTTAGCAACATACAAGTTTGAAGCTCCGCGTGGATTTCTTGGATCGGCGCTGGAGCCTCCTGGCGGCGCCTGCGGCGCCGCCCCTGGCGCGCTCCGCGCGCAAGGGACGGGGGCCAACGCCGATCCAAGAAATCCGAGATGACCTCCGAAAGTGCAGGTTTATACCTTCTATTTCTCTTCGGATGTGGCGCGACCGCACCTGGCACGCCCCCCACTTGTCTGCCCTCTCCATCCTTCCTCCGCCTCTCCCCGTCTCCCCTCCTCTTCCCGTCCCCGTCCCCCTCCATCTTTCCGTCCCCCCGTCCCCCTCCCCGTCCCTCCCCCTCCTCCTCCCCGTCGCCTTTCTCCTCCCCGTTCCCCCGTCCAC